TTTTTTTTTTTTTTTTTTTTTTTGAGCTATGATAGGGCTAAAGTGAAAGCTGTCTAAAACTAGTGATTTCGGACTTCTGTCTTGAGCTTGAGTGGTACTTCTTACTTTTCTTTTTGTAGGCTGCTGACGACGTCAGCAGACGTTGATGGAGTGGCTGTGATCACTTCGGAGGTTCCAGAAGTTCAGAATGTTGTACCTTCCGTATTTTACGTTCCTTGTAATTCTGTTACAACTCAAGCTCTGGAGATTTCTTCAGTGTCGTACCATTTTAGAGCTTCATTTTGGAAATCACTGAAATGTTTCTTATTTATGATATGTTTCTGGCTCTGGATTTTTTTCGGGCATCGTTTCTTTAATCTTTGTGCTAAGGACAAAAAAAAAATTTTTTTTGTATCTGGAAACTATCTGGTACCGAAAGGAATTTTTAGAGATCAAAAAGTAAAAGAATTTGTTAAGCTGGGGAGCAGTAGATATAATTTATTCAGACTACGCGGAATATTTTAATGCACTGCATAAAGTGAACCACGCACTATTAATGTTTTTTGTTTGACGTTTTGCCAGAAAAGCAAGTATTAGTAAAAGTTACCCGTTTCTTTCTTGAATTTTCTGTACCTAGCTCAGCATTCGGTCTAGTTTAATGCTTTGGCTTAGGCTCTGCTTAGCTTGAGCTTTCAAGTGCATTTATTTCGTTTTGTGCCACCAATTTTTTTTTTTTTTTTGCGACAACGATCTTCAGTGAATTTTGTTAAAGTGATGTCAGAAAGTTGGAGGGGGTTCACAGAGACAGCATCAACCTTGTCGTTGTAGGGTGGGCTCCGTAACTTGTCGAAAACAGTCATAGTTGTCTCAGTTTAATGGACATTCATGAACAGCTGAATAATATATCTTTAGCTGAATTATTTGTGTGAGCCATTCGGGAATTCAAAGTGGTATAAAAGAAGGTAAACGTTGGGTTGAATCACAATTTTTATTTTTTTTTTTTTTCAGTTACTCTTCCTTCCACTAGTAATAGAATTTAGTTTGGGGGCTGGTTTGACGGAAATCTGTTTCTGGTTTGGTTGATTTTAACAGATTTCAGTGCAAATTTTAGCCTTTTTCAATAAAAAACATTATACTTGTCATTGCATTTCACTGTGAAAATCATCTGAAACTGAGTGCAAAGGCCTTAACTTTGTAGACGAAAGTCTTTGTGCGTTGTGAGAGCTCATGCATTCATCTCCAAAAACGTGATGAAGTCGAAAAAAGATCGAGTGGTAAATTAGTGATAAGGCAGAAAAATATGATGTTGTCGTGTACAGTTGAACTATGTTACTCAGGCAACTTTTACGAAATGTTTGTCGAAGTGAGAAACTTTGTACCGCACAATATCTGACGAAGCGGTAATGTGTCGCGTCTGAGAGTCTTCATCATGTGGCTCATTATTCAAGGGAAAAAAAAAACGCATATTTTGAGCCACATGGACTGTTTTTTTCAGGAAACGAATTTGGGACAATCAAGATTTTTGAAATACAGGTGGAAGGTTTTTATGTGGTTTAGATCTTCCAATTTAGAATCTATTCTTTACTCACAGAATGGTAATACATCAATCATAGCAGCCATGATTATTATTTTGTTGTTCGATTGGATTGTAATTTATAATATGTACGAATAAAAACTTGGCAACGAATGCTGATTGTTGTATTTGTAATCAGACAAATAAATGGTGAAATCAGTGAGTCGTTTTTACCTAGGTAACGTCAAATTTTGAATGAAAATTGTTATGGAAATAATAACATCTTATCTTTAGAAGTCTACGCTGAAATTTTAGCGGTGAAGTAAACAGTTTAAGTCGTTTGATAAACTTGTTAAGTTTACTTTCTCTGTCCTCGTTTAAGGGAATTTTGAAATCATGTTACATCCGTGGTGCTACAGAGCAAAATACTTTGGGAAGGCTTTTGCTTTTTGATGTTTAATTTTGTCGCTGAGGTGGAAATACATTTAAGCTACTGCATTTCAATTTGGTCACCGTTTTTAGTTACCCTCTCAGATTTTTTTTTTTTTTGTAAACTTCGCTGGCCGGTAGGACTCATGCATACATTCGCACAGTTTAGGGGGTTATCTTTTTTGCTCATTTCAATCGAGATTGGCATTTTCAAAAATTTGCCGAAAAGTGCATTTTTTGACCGAACACTGCTTTAAAAGGCTTAACTTGCCCCACTCTTTGCAGCATTCATTACAGTTATTTCAAAAAGCGTGTCATTAATTTCTCTGCTAATTTGCACAACTTAACATTTTAACTATTCCTCATAAACTACAAAAATAGTATGGGGTTTTTATTTTAACAAAACAGAAGAACTTAGAAAAAAATATTTTTTAGAAAAATATCTTGTTTGCAACTTTTTTTCTACAAAGTGCACTGATCTTCAAGACAAAACGCTTATGGACAGGTAACTTATAAAGCAGGAGTGAGTTGCTATTGGAAAAACTGCTATAACTACGCTTTAAACAGCTACGAGAGTGACCAGATGTGGTTGAAGGGAGGCAATGAAGTGTTTTCATTAGTTCGAACCATGGGATCTAAAATCCTCTCGTTAAGCATAGTCTAAAGGAGTTCAAGAAGTTGCTTGAAAAAAGTAATGGGTTTGACGAGATGTGCCTTAGTTGCTTTTTAAGTGCGTCGAAGACGAAGGTTTGTGGCCTTACATGGCAGTAGTTTACGAGTGAAACGACGACAGTACAAAAAGACTAGAAACCATCTTGTCACGTGAATATTTAATGCAGTAAGCTTTCATCAGTGGTAATCGTAATTATGTAGTGTTTTTATTCGGAAGGACAGGAGGAGGACAATTTGGGGCCTACGAAATCTACCACGAGAGATGTTTCTTTGAGATTTGTGCCTGGAAGACGATTTCTCCCGTTATTTTTACCTGACTGCGCTTTTCCATTGTGTTTACTGTGTGTATTTGCGTTGTGGATGGTGAAATGAGGTAACTACTGGTGGTTAGAAGTTACACAGCAGTGGCCAAAACAGTAAAGTTCACCCAGGTGTTATTTTGGGCGAAAAACTCTTTACTGCTCCAGTATTTTGGAGCCTCGCAAAGGGAGAAAAACATGGTGGCTTCTAGATCTTCTATAGAAAATGTGGTACAAAATTAGGGCTTTAGACGGACAAGTCTGTGTTTTATTGAAGGGAGTCTATCAAAGATTACACTCCGGTTCGTCGTTACTCTATGAATTAAGATAATTGTCAGTTTTATCGTAGAAAATGCGAGCAAGTATCACTTCCGATCCGGATTTATGGAAGTATATTTTAGATTGGATAATTCCTAGTTGGCATTTGAAAGTTACTTGCAATGGAAGCGTTCGTTGCGTATTTTCGAACTGTGTTAATATCGAGTGCTACATAGACAATGTTTCTTTCGGAAGTCCGTTTTACCTGAGGACCACGTCAGCCAGCAGCTCAAACAGAGAAATAATATTTCTTACAGAAATTTAGAAGAACAAGAAATTCGAGTTTATGCGTTTCGTACACCGTGATACGGCTGCTGCTCGTCCACTAAACTGGCGAGCCTGAGTACTTGCTGATACGTTTTTTGAACGGGCATTCATAAAGGTCTTTTGCAACGTGAATAACAGTTGTCAAGCTGAAATTCTTGTGGGCATCTGTGTTTAAATGTCAAACAGAAGTTAAGGAATGAAAGGGTTTGGCAACAGAAAATATTGAGAAAAATATCATCAGTCCCTTAAAACCTTTTAGCAAAGCTTGATCTGTGCAAGTGTCTAAAGTTTTGGCAACTATGGCACATTTGAATTTCGCGGATTGTTTAAAATTTGTATGAACTTTGTAGCGCGCCGGCGGCAAACATCATCAACCTCAAACTGTGGTGTGCAAATTATTGGCTGGCAAACGGGCTCCTAACCGTTAGTTTGCGTTGTTGAATACTTCTTGGCTTTAATTTCTTCACTGTTGGAAGCCACCGGTTTATTATATATTTTTGCGCTTAAAAAATTTCACAGTGAATTGTTAATATTCCCTTGTGCATATTTCTTAGTGCTCAAGCGTTGCCGAGGTACTATTAACTTTACTTGCACAATGGGTACTAATGGTTGTTTATGTCAGATAACAATACGATGTCCACTACGGCCGCAGATAGTGCCGAAGATTTACGTCTTCCTCAAACTGTTGTTGGAAGGATAATCAACCAATCGCTTCCTCCAGGTGTGATTGTTTCTAAGGTAGTTTAGTGCTTTTTATATATTTTTATTGGTTTCTCTTATTGCCTTTTCGACTTATTGTGGCGTCTTTCTAAGCAGACAAAGATTCCTGGTACCTTCTCAGCTTTTCGTAGTTCTATGGTTTTTGGATATACAGCTTTTTACTTTTACTTTTCCTATCTGTACAAGTGGGCACATCAAGTTATTACGTATCATTTCTTTTTCGTGTTATTAACATTTTTGGCCGAGAATTGTAGTTGCATTTTCATTTTTTTATTAAGCTACAGGAATGATAGAGTTTGTTTTCTAAAGCACTGTAAGTTTCAAGTAAGTCGCAACTTTTGATTTCTGTCTACGGAGCATTCTTTAAAGGACTGTTAGAATCGAGTGTTATTGATCTTTAGCAAGGTAAGATCGTGGTTCGTGAGATCTTTCATTTGGATAGAACTCAGGCTGTAAAATTTGCTTACGAGTTAAACAGTTAAATTCTCAGACAGGCTTAATGCTAAGTTCTTCTACAGCTTTACCGTTTTTTGTAGTTTTGATTTCTTGTCGCCTTTTATTTTTCATAATATTTTTCCAGCCTTTTTATTGCTCTTTTGTTTAGCCTTCTTGTCGCTCTTCTGTTCATGATATCTCGGGTTCGGGCAGTAGTATCTTTGCAAATTTTTGTTTTTGGTTTGTACCTCTTCATGTTATTGGAATTTTTTCGGGGTTCAGTGTTACTTTACTGGTGTTCTTGGTGGAAGTGGGTGGTGCTGTTGTCAAGGCACTAGTTGAGACCGTCTACTTTCTGTTTGGGCAGGTCGATGATTTTTAATGTCATTGTGAGGAACACTGTGCTTTTATAACGTAAGCGACAATTAAGTTCTTGTTTTCATTATTTATTTATTTTTTTTGGAAGTTGTAATTTTAATAGATCTCTGTTTTTGTCTGATGAATAAGAGTTGTATTACGGTTTCCTAAATTCTGGGCCAACAAGGGAATGATTACTTGAGCTGTTGTAAAGAACGACACTTAGTTTTGAACGTAGAACTGAGACGAGTCATCGCTTATTAAGGTTAGTGCTGTCCACAAAGATGATCATTTTTTAAAAATCTTTCTTTTACTCGATTCTGATTGTTTTCTGAGGTTTCTTTTTATCTTACTTAAAATGTGTCAGCGATTCGGAGGTATGATTTTGCTTAGTCTTAGGTTAGCGAATTTCTTATCGTGGGCTTCAGTATTCCTGATTATTTTCTACAAGGTAAGGAGCTACTTTTGGACACTACTACTAAACATTTCATTGGCCTGTCCTTTTTCTGTTTATGAGTTAATAAATATCTTTTTTACGGTGATAAGAGTAATATTTTTGGCCTTTTGTAGAAAATGCGTGATACGGATCGGTAGGTGTCTGTCGTCGGCAACAGCAAAACCGCTTTTGACTTCAATATTTGTTTAGACAAATTAAGAAGAAACTTTTCTAACTGAGGTTGTGGTCACTTTAAGAAATTTGATATTTTTAGCTAAGTAGGAGATCTTATAGCTATTATTGAAGTCTTAAGTAAAAATTATAGATTTTGGACGAGAAGGCGACTCAAAACGTTTATTGGGAATTTCTGGTTAGCTGTGAGGAGGAAGAAATAAAGGTTTAAGAATAAAAGTTGAGAATGGTAATGTAGTGAGGCATAGTGTGCAGTTCTAGGTGATGTAGAGTATTTTTGCTTTATCTAAGAGAAGAAAGAAAATGCAGTTATTGGAAGTTGTGAAAAGTAACTGCCTGGAGTAGTTATATTATGTGTACGTGGATGAAAGCAATTGTAAAGGCATCTCCTGAACTTCGATGTTGTTCGTGTATCTGACTTGAAGATGTATTTTTACTATTTAGAGGCTAGAACTGCAATCGCGCGTGCAGCTTCTGTATTCATTCTTCATGCATCCTCCTATGCGCAGGAATGCGCAGTTGGAAATAAAAGGAAAACTGTGACTGCTGCCGACGTTATCACTGCGATTAGTAAACTTGAGTGCGACGACCTGGAGAAACCAGTAATTCACTGTTTTAAAAAACTTCAAAAATCATGAGTGTAATTTTATTAAAGTTAGCTTTCTAGTTAAAAGAAGCGGTTGAAGTTTGGAAGAGCACAAGACAGCAGAAATTGGAAGAGGCGAAGAAACGAAAAGTTGAAAAAGCTCAACAGCAAGCTAGTAATTCCGGAGGTTCTACCGAAACATTTTCGTGTTCCACAGTGGAGGAGGCTAACGCAGGTAGTTCATGAAGCTCTTTAATTTATTTAGAGAACATTATTTAATGTAGTTCATTAGAACCTTTTTGCGTTTTATTTTGCTATATCTGTTTTTTTCTCTTATATGCATTTGTGTCTTGATCTCGTTCCTTTTTACATTTTATTTACGTTACATTTGAGCATTATTTTTTGAAAAACTGCTTTTTTTGCCTTTCTGCTGTGTTTATATTTCCGATTTTTAGTACGTTATTATTACAGTCTAGTTTAGTATGTTTCACTATGGTTTTTTTCCTGAACAGTCTGTTATTGCATATCTTCGTCTTTTACTGTGATTGATTGTGGTTCTTATTCAATTTTTTTAAAAGTTTTTGTGTTAAAAGCAACTGAATTCCTAATCTTTATTACTGTTTTTTTGGGGACCAATTGTACAGAATACAAAGTAAACGTATTGGTTTTATTAAAGCTTTTTTACACGATAAAGAGCAGTTTGAGGGATCTTAGATTTTGAGGAGCAGGTCTTCTTATTCTTTGGTTATTTAATTACAGCTATTGTTGGGAGCGCCGGATCGCTCATGTGCTTAAATTATGCGTTTGCTTTTGTGCGACTGTCACAAGCAGAGGTTCCTCAGCCGTTGACATTTGCAGTTTATTTTCGTGTTTTTGCTTGTGATCCACGGCTCTTCTGCCAGCGTATACGTATTTGATTCTTTGTAACGTTTTATGCGGATTAATAGGCGTATTCTGAAGTTGTTCGTTAAATTGACTGGGTTAAGTTAAGTGGAAGAGGACAGATTTCCGAAAATTTTTGAGCATTGACGATGAGTTTTTCATTGTCGGTTAGCAGGGTTCGGGAGGTCGGTATACAAAAGAGGACCAGTAAATAAAGAAATTCCTTACCTTTCTTGTTTTGATGATAACGTGGCAATTACTGAAACGCTGACGTCGTAAAATACGATTTCCAAAGCTGCTGTTGTATTGGCTACCTTGGGCCATCTAAAAATCCTTGTAGTAGTCTGAAGTATTTTGATTATTTCTATTACACTAGTTGCGGATCATTTATCCATTTTTGCAGTTTTAACATATGAAAACAAACTCTGAAATTGTGCGAAGGCCGTGCCTAACCATCTGGTTTATTGAATATGGCTGCAGTTTATCCTCTTCAAACAGGATGCTCTTTTGCTGGATGCAGCTATACGCCTCTAGCTCTTTCCTTACTAACCTCGTGACGTTCTTATACTCTTCCGATTCTCTGCAAATTCCTAAGGTGTTGAAAAAGCGCTGTTTGTAGGTAGAAAGGTAGAGCTGTGAGATGCTGATAGAAATGATATGGCCTATATAATGAACAGTTTTGTGATAAAATTATTATTTTTGAGTGAGTCAGCTGTTACTTGGGTATCACTGCGAAAATTTGACACTTTTTTGGGATAAAAGGGGCGTAACGGTATTGTTTGGTGTTGGATAAGTTTCCAATGGGGAGTCATTGAGGCGAACATCAACTGTGCATTCCAATTTGTTTTTATGTTTCTAGTAAATCTCGTGCGACTTACCTAGACAGTCTGCTGTTGCCTTGTTTTTCCATGCAGAGACAAAAATTGTATGGGATTCCGGCATCTTCACAAGTTCTATCCGTCTCAACAACTTCTTCAAACATGCTTTTTCCTCTTCCTGTAATAATAAACGATTTTTTTAGTTCCCAGTGTTTCATCTAACTTGAACTTACAAAGAGCATTTTTTTTTCTAACAACTATAAACTAGAGTTTCTTGCTTTGGAACTTTTCAGTTTACCTTTTTGTTGCCAGAATGGCCTTTCGCTTCTAAATTTTCCCTTCGCGATATCTTTGAGAGTCTGATGTACGTCATAGTTGCTGATAAGCCTAGATGAGCTGAGTTTTTAAAACAGTTAATAATTTTAGATGTCATGGTTTTTGTAGTGAGATCAGTATTTAAATATTTTGGCTGTCGTTGTTAAAGTGATCTAGTGACTGTAGTAGCTTCCAAACGAGAACATTATACGAAATAAAGGCTTAAAGTTAGGTATGACTGTTATTTCTGAGCAGTTTAACAAAAAAGAGGTTTAGTATAGGTTATTTCTTTTTGTTTTTTGGTCTCCTGTGTTAGATATAAATGAAAACACTTGTGTAGGCATTTCACAGCGTTGTTACGAAAAAATCAAATTTTTCAAATAGGCCAATTTGGTATGCTGTCGTAAGCAGTTCTAACTGACTTTGACCTCTTGTTGTTCATAAATCTGTTAATTACAAATACTCTTTTTTGGCAATGCTAATTATCAGAATTCTTATGATATGAATAGATAAAGCTCGGTATTAAGTGTGAGATATGTGTTACTTTCACCGTTTAGTATTCTTTTTAAGTATTTTAACTTTTTCCGCATATTTTGCGCTGAAACTTTCGGGTAGTTTGATGCTGAGTAGTGGAGCTCGTTCTTCAATTCTTCCTACGTAGCTGCGTTGTATGTTTGAAATTCGGTTGCCGTGATCTCCCATAATCACAAAAGCCGTATTATTAAAAGCGCCTGATGCGTACAACCGTTCAAGGGAAATTCTATAAGACTGTTGTGACTGAGTGGCTTAGTAGTTCCGGAAATTTTGGAAACAGTGTTACCTCAGTTTTTCATCGGCAAGTTCAATGTAGCTAGCATGATCGTGCGATAAGAGGGTTATAAAATTGAAGGAGAAGTTGCAGTAATCCTTGAATTTCTTCGCGAAGTTTTCCCACAAGTTTAAAAACAGCTCTGTTGAGAACTGGAAAAGTGAAATTTATTCTGGAGAGCTAGCAACGTTAATATAACTGTGCTTTCTATCAGATATTGTCAGTTTAACCTGTCCGGTAGGAGTGCATATGGAAGCTCTTAGCTGCTGAGTAAGGTGAATGTGGAATGGTCGGAAATAGTAGTTTGTCGGTGGAACTTTGAAACCGTGGTACTGTGGTTTTCCGTAATGAAATAATCCACGCGCTTTGTGCCCGATTTCATCATTGAACATTGTTATGCACCGTCTTTCTAGGATATATTTTGTAGAGTCCAGAACTTGAATGGGGCATACTTTATTGGAAGTGTAAAGAAATGCAGTTTAAGACGAACGCTGCAGTAAAACTGCATAGTAGTACCGAGTGCTTGAGCTTTTAAACATACTAACCTTTCATTATCGTCCATAAGGTTTCAAGATTCTGAAAGTCAATGGTCTTATTTTCTGGCATCAATTCTTCTCCATTCCCGCCCACTTTTGGCAACGTTGATTTTCCTGCCAATATCGGAAGTAGGTTGACGTTCGAGTTATCTCCCACTTTTGTGTAACCTAAGTAAAACTTTTATTTGCCTAAGTATTTAAATGCAGTTGGTTTTTTTTTAAATATTTAATCTTTTCTCACTCTGACTTAATTCGACTACTCTTTTTTTCTTTTCTCTAAACAAACGCGTTGGACGTAACAGTTAGAGAGTGTGGTTTTTTTTTGTTTGAAAAACGCTGCCCTCGTTTTAAGAGGGGTTTGAATATTATTTCATTTGTTCTTATTAAAGTGAAACGAGAAGTTGTTTTTAATTTTTTTGGGCTCTGCTCATCGCCTTAATCGAACAGTGAAGAAAATAATTAGTTGGGGAAAAATAGATTTTTTATTGAAGAGCAAGCAACGCAACTATAAAATAAGTCTTTATCGGGGTATGTTGGCTTAGACTTTTCTGTAACATAGATGAGTGTTTGTTTGGTTTAATGCGTACAGATAAACAAGATTAACTTTTTTTGGGTAAAATAATTTAGGTTGGTAAACGTCTCAGTGGATGTACCTTCAAAAAAAATAAATCCTAATTTTTTCATGTACTCAAGTGATCGACGCATATGCCGTAGGAATTGATTTCGAGCTAAAGAGTCGAATACAAGAATGCTAAGTGACGGTGATTCCTAAACAGCATTAATTATTAGTCAGATTGATACTGTGATTAGAATATGAGAGATAGGAAAATTTTTTGCTTTTCTGGTAATACTCGGTACTTTTTTGTTAAGTGTGGAAATCTTACTGGAGTGGCATAGTCGAAATCTCGAAGCTTATCGGTAACTGAGTTGGCACTTATTATCTGAACGGTAAGTAATTTCATCAAACTAGAGCAGTGATGTCAGTTGTAGCAAAGTTGAAAGCTGTTAATCTGATAAACTTTTATAAAGTACTTCAATGTTCAATGATATCTAAAAACTTCTTAGTGTACGGCATATTTGTGTTTCCTACAGAGTAGTCACGACACGTACTTTGACCTTTGGGAATTTGTCAGAGAATGTCGCAAATGCTTTGGAGTATAGTAAGGAATTATTAGTATATTCCTTGCTGTTGATTCTAGCAACTGTAGTCTTATTAAAACATTCGACAATAAATTGATCATCTTTTACTTTCACAAACTGATGTGGCTCCAGCTGAAAATATTTAAATATGAAAGTGTAAAAACATAATACTTTTTCGCTCACGAGAAAACAAAGTGGAGTTTGAGAAAATGCGTATATTTTTTGGTGGCTTATGTTTTAAATCACTAACTGCGATTCGTTCAGAAGATTCATAACTTGAAATTTTAGGATATAGTGATCCGGTAATACTTTGATAATAGCATCTGAAATCAGCTGTAAATTTAAATATCGTTCAAAAAATTTTGATTGTTCTCGATTGTACGGATGTGAAAACAAATATTCATCGATGAAATGTTAAATTGCTCGAAATATTACTGAAATGACGGCAGTTTCGAGCGTCTGGTTGGATTTAAGTCGCTTTGGACGACTAGATATCCATCGTCATCTAAAGAAGCGAGATTTGGCATTGTGCTGTCACACTGCAGTGATCTGTAAAATTCTAACCTTGTGTCTAAAATTTTTCAATAATTATGAAGCACTTTTAAAGGTCGTTATACTGATTATTCCTTTGAATCTACGGCTTAATCTACTTCCATTATGGTAATCATGGTTACAAAACTACTTCTTTGAAGAGTGACAGAAATTGTAGCTAACCTTGTGTGAGTGACATATCTTTCAAGATCTGATTCGTTAGGTTCTACGATTGGTAGTTTACACTGATTTTCCAACAAAGAAACTTCGTTGGTGTTTCTGTTGCTATCGAAATTCAACGATTTGGTGTCGCTGTTGTCTATGAAGTTATGAACGGGCTCATTCAACAGTCTTACAATTCGCTGTACATACGTGGCGTATGTACATAAA